TCATATACAAATAGGCGATGTGTAGTCTCTGCACAACTGAAAAATGTGAGAACTTTTTAATCACGGGAAGTTAGCAACCGATTTCTATAGTTTCGCCTAATATTTTTATTAACGGTTGTGCTAATTTTGCTGCCGAGTATATCAGATAGACCTCGGTAAACTCTATCGAATGGCAAAACTAGTTTTCAAGAATATGCTTTCCTTAAGTTTATGATGAAAAATACTGATTTTTTTCAATGAAACGAAAACTCAAAATTGTACTTTAGGCTAATATATTTTATAGAAGGTGTACCAGATAGAACTTATGAGCTCTATCGAATGGTGTGTTTGAATCTAAAAAACATTCACTGCAAAACAATCTAAGAGCAGAATATTGCATTTTATCACCCTTCAGCCCAGTATTTTGATCTAATATTCTTACCGACAACTGTGCCGACTCTAAACATAAATGTACCAAATAGTACTAGATAAGCTCTATCAAATTACATACTCAGTATTTCATTACATTGTCTCCTTTAATTGTTACAAGCATTTCATCAGTTTTGTCCTCATTCATAGATTATCACAAATACATTCAGTGTATATCTATTGTATCTTTCATATTATATGTTATTAACGTGGATAATAATATTTTGTGTTTAGTGAATTAGACTGTGTAGCCGAGTGTCGTTTTGAAATAGACGTGAGATGTATGTTTGTTATTACATTAATAAATAATAGACTGCCGTGTCAACATTGTTGGCCCTGTCGTAAATGTAGATGCCTTTTGGGTGCACATCACTATATTAATATAATGATTTTATATTATCTTTTTTACCAATTGCTGGATTTGTTGCTTTTAATTCTGGCTTATTAATGTTGCAGAATTTCTCTGTTACACATCAATCGTCAACTCCAACATTTTATTTCATACGTTCGAGCATATAACTAATTTCATCAAATCGCATTTATTCGATAAAAATATAGAAGAAAATCGGGAAGGCGAAATTCCTCCTAAGTTATAGCAGAATTTTATAGGTTTGGTCGGATGTATGACTCTTGTAAAGGGCTGAAATGATTTTCTTCTGGCTCTTGGATAGAACATAACCGACAGAATAGAATATCAGTGGTTCAAATAGCGGTCTTGTGATACTTCAGAATTATACATTAACGCGGCTGAATTTGATGTGTTGTACATTCAGAAATATGTTAATGGTACCGATGATATAAAATCGCGATTTAATAATTCAGATATTAATAATATAATAAATTATGTACAACAAATTACATTCTCCGATATGATCTAAGATTTATTCTGTCAGAATACAAGCGGAAAAATATTCCTTTATAGTATTCTGCACTAAAACTATTGGAAAACAAACTCAATTTTGTACGAATCGAGATTCGAACATATGAACTTAGCTTTGCCATAAACTGTTAAAACTAAATCCATCGTTCTGTATCTATAATTTGGATATTAAAATATGGAATAAATTATCTTCTTCTACAACATCAATTGTGGCTGTTATTGATTTTCTTATTCTAATCATTATAATTGTTTGTTTTACCGAAATTTAAAGTATGTAGAAAAAAAACACCATCTTATAATATTGAAACAGACGTGCCCAATCAACCACAACAATTAGCACTAGCGCCAAATCCATTATTAGATTATTTCTATCAGCAGCTGTTAACGAAAACAAAATCAGAAACAGCTGACACTAATAATAACAATTAGAGATATACTATTAAATATGGCACAAGGATACGAGAAAACGTTACATAAAACTTTTATTGTTACACACACACACACACATTACATAGTTTTATGATATAAAAGTAAAATATTTATAAAACCTTAAGTAATAAAACTTAAGAAAACACTATTCTGAAAAACTAATTATAGGCTGAAGGATCATAAAATGCAATATTTTGCTCTTACAAGGGAAGTACCCCAGGTTGCAAATCGTTTTTGAAACGAAACTAGGTAGACTATATGTAACTGATGGCTCTGATTCCGAATAAGAACACCGAAGTTGCCCTTGGGCTTTCATTGAGCGGTTTCCTAAACTGGATCTTCAGAAAACTATGAAACAAATCCAGAAAATTTTTTTGAATCACCCATGTTGTAGAGGACACAACACTGTCTATATTTCATAAGTTTTAATTTTTCAAAACAAAAATCAACAGCGTAGGAAAATTTTCCAAAAAAGTGACTACGCTGGTTTTGATGAAAAAATGTTTCAGTAGTAAACTTTGCAAAAACCGTAGCACCGTTTAACGATATTTTGAAAAATTAGAACTTATGGAATATAGACAGTTTTGTGTTCTCTACAAAATGGCTGATTCAGAAAAAAATTTTTGATCTAGGTCATAGTTTTCTGAAGATCCAGTTTTCAGAAAACTGGTCAACGAAAGCCCATGGGCAACTTCGATGTTAATATTTGAAATCAGCGCTATCAATTACATACATACATAGGACACCTAGTCTCATTGCGAAAACGATTTATAACTTGGGTACTTCTCTCGTTAGATTGTTTTGCAGTGCATGTTTTTTAGATTCAAACACGCCATTCGATAGAGGTCATCGAGTTCTATCTGGCACACTTGTTTGCAAAGGTGGCCCGCTTTTCATAAAAAATATTAGTCCAAAATACAAAATTTTGAGTTTTTGTCTCATTGAAAAAAAAATAGTATTTTTCATTTTAAAACTTAAGGAAACCATATTCTGGAAAACTAGTTTTGCTAGTTAACCGGAGTTCATCGAGTTCTATCTGGCGCACTCAACAGCAAAATTGGCACAACTGTTAATGAAAATATCAGGCGAAACTATAGAAATCGTCTGCTAATTAGACCGGAGCAGGTTAAGACGCAGATATTTTCCAGTGTACGGTACAAGACTCAGTAAATCTATACTTAGGATCATTAATCGCAAGTCTTTAACTTCCAAAGAACTTAATAATCGCAGGTTAGAGCTGAATTCGTTTATAGATCGATGTCCCCGATCTTGCCTGTCTATCACTGAAACCGCAAATCTCTGTTAGCTTTCGTTCAAACTTTAAAACCAAATTGTCCGCATCTCACTCAAAACTTGTTCTAATTCCTTGCAACTTATACAGAATTACATCAGTACATGTTGTCATATATACATATCTTGAGAAAAATCCAAATTGGTTTATGTTTGGTACACACACGCCGTATCATATTATGTTTTGGGAAGAAAAATCCAACGGACACCACGACGTGTTTAAAAGATATTTCGAGAAAACAGGTTTATAACTAGAAATTTTTTCCAAAAAATCTTGAGAAATGACTCGCTGAAAATCTAGCTAAATCTCACGTTGTTCTAAGAAACTACATTAATTTGTACAATAGTCAGTGCAGCGTTTCTTGATTCATAATTATGTTGAAAGTAAATTTATATCGAAACAAGCAAGCACCTGGAATACAAAACTTAAAACTTTTAGTTCAATCCATGTTCCTTGAGCCATCGCATTTTTGGTCCCACCCACGACCACAATATTGATGTCCCATAGGAAAATTGATCAGCAAAAAAACCTTGAATTTGTGTTTGCATCTGGGACCAGAAACCTTCGTTTTCCATCACTGTAAAACACCATCCTAGCAATTTATCCTCGCCCAATGATTTCATTATGCCATACACTAGGCGATTGATACCTTCTTTTGGTTTATAAACGCCTAAATCAGGATCTTTGAATGGAAGACTATTGATCATCATTGTCAACGCTATATCACCATAATACGACACACCATTTTCTCTTTTACAGTCTTTACTATGAACCTAAAACAAATATTGTTGGTTAAGGTTTCAAACCCTGAGTCATGTTTCAAACCCATGAAAAGTTATAAACTTGAAAAAGTACGCTCTTTCTGAGAACATGCTTATTGTAGAAAAGGAAAACCGAACGTAGATATTACAACTCTCATTTCGTCAGATTACGTTTCATTGTCAAAGATATCTTCTAACATCTGCTGAAAGCATTCGTTTCGTTCATTGTTTTTAAAAATCCTTTGCAAACCAATTTTTTTGATTGTCGGTCATAGTTATTCGTGTTTGTCATGTTCAGTCGTTTCGGGAGTAGCTAATGTTTCATTGTTTTATGTCATGTGAAAGAAATCTTTAGTCACACGTGAGTCGCATACAATCAAATACATAGTTTACAAAGGATTTTCAAAAACAATGAACGAAACGAATGCTTTCAGCAGATATCAGAAGATATCTTTGACAATGAAACGTAATCTGACGAAATCAGACTTCTAATATCTACGTTCGGTTTTCCTTTTCTACCTACAATAAACATGTCCCCAGAAAAAACATACTTTTTCTAGTTTATAACTTTTCATGGTTTTGTTACGTGCCCAAACGCTGCAACCATCTATTCTACTTATTGAAAACCATTTCCATTAGGACTTCATGGGTAATTCTGGGTTGTCACAACGTGAAAACTTAGACTTCGTTTAGCGCTTACAAAACTACCTACCATGCCATGTCTACCTACATAAGCTCCAAATTCGAAAGGTAAGCAGAAAAATAGATTTCTTTGAAACACGCTTGGCTGGATAGCGCTCGTCGAGCTGATTCTGAATATCGTCTTTTTATCAGATTTTAATCAAGTTTTGGGGAGAAATCTTCAAAATACCGCAATAGTCACAAAAAGTGAAAAACTGAAGTTATAGAAAAAAATCAAGATT